CTACAGATTAAGAAGCGGAACAATTAGAAGGGGCGCTACGCTTGGATGACGTCAGTATACGTCATTGCGGTATTATCGGTGCTTCACTTGAGAGCGAGAGTGAGAGAAAAGGAGAGACAGAGAGACAGAGAAAGAGAGAGAGGGATAAAGGGAGAGAGCAGAAGCGGATCTAGAGGGGGGGGGGGGGGGGGGGGTTGGGGGGGGGGGTTGCAACCCCCCCCCCAAAAAAAAAAATCCGGGGACCATTTTTTAAAATCTTATCTTTTTTTTAAAACTTGTAATTTTATTTTATTCTATTTCTATGTATTTATTTCATTTATTATTATTATTATTATTATTATTATTATTATTATTTCTTTTTGGGGGGAGGGGGGGGGGGGGGGTTGGGCGAACAAATGTCACAGAGTCCCTTGCCCCCCCCCCCCCCATCAGCTTTTTTGAGGACACGGGCCACCGCCGAAGTGACAAGCTAGGCCAGCGTTGACGATTCTCATCCCCAAAATCCCCACATTAAAAAAAAAAAAAAAAAAAAAAAAAAAAAAAAAAAAAAAAAAAAAAAGAACGCACGCTGGAGAGAAACCCTTTCAAGTGCAATTATTGTGAGAAGATATTCAACTCATCTGGTAACTTAACCAAACACATGATAACTCTGGATATAACTGTGTATTTAACTGTTACTTGATTTAAAAAGACGTTATCATGCACTGCTTTTTATGGTCTCCATTGTGTTAATAGATGCCAGGAAAACATCACTTACGGGGTTCAAATAAACACCCCCAAAAAATCGGCTCGCCGCTTCGCGGCTCGTGGACGATGCTCCGCATCGTCATTATTGGTCAACCCCCCCCTGAGCAAAAAGCTAGATCCGCCCCTGGAGAGGAGGGTGTGGAGGAAAGAGTAAGAAGTAGAAGAAGAAAGAGAAGAATAAGTATGAGAAAAGGAAGAACAAGAATTAAAAGGATATGAATGATTTTGTGTTTAAACAGAGAAAGAGAGAGAAATAGAGAGAAAGAGATAGAGAACAGAGAAGGCGAAATGTACTATAGCAAATGCGCCGATCGCTAATTAGCTATGCGACAAGGGTTACACACTATTAAATGATTTTGGGGGAATTACTCATCCCTCCCCCTCCCTTAGAAATTTAGAAAAACTCGAAAACTACATTGGACCAACGTTTCATATTAAATAACCCTGTATAAATATTCCAGTTATCGCAATTCAAAATTTGAGAATTCCAAATGCTTATTAATATTATGACTCAAAGTCGCCTGTGACAGGGAGGAGAAAAAGAGACATGGGCTCACTTAAATTCCTTCCATGGTCAACATTGTTGGCTAGCAAAACGTTTTGTCACAAAGAGCATCATTTATTTACGTAACACTTGATCAATGTGTGTCATCACCGATGCATGTAATATAGCCCCAACGTATAATTGACATGTAGGACAACCCCTTCCTAGAGGCACCACCAGAAGCGATATCACTTGCCAACCGTTTAATTCTTCATGATTTCCTGACTAAAGATGTGCATAAAATGTGATTCAGAAATCAGATTTAGAACCATCATTGAAAGTAAAGTGTTCAAAAAGTGCTCACACATCCTTCCCTTCAGAAGAAACAAAATGAAGTTAGACGATTCTAAGGGAACTCTGACCTAGTAAACTGCCTAGACTGTTTCTATGTCGCCCAAATCGCTGAGAAAATAAGACACCCTCAACGCTAAAAACGGAGACAGTCCCTCGTCTTTTTGACTGGTGTATTTTCGGGGTTGGCGCGTTTTACTCATCGCACCCTCTGTGGGATGCTTGTAAAGGGAGTGGGACATAGAAGATTGATCACAAAAAATATATAAAAACGGACAGAAACTGTAATACCTCTGAATAAGTATATCGAAGAATAAGATGTCCGACCCAACATTAACGACCTGCAGAACACCTTCCATTTAGACACGAAAATTTAAATACTTATTCATTTTATTTGTTTGTAGTTGTACTATTTATTGTCAATAACAATATTGCTTTCCACAATGGCCCTGTTGGCCTATATGAAGTATAAATAGAATATAATTAAAGATTGTTTGGTTGTTTTTTTGTGTGTGCTGATGCTTAAAAAAATGATATCATATATACCTCTGTCACGATGTTATTGATAGCAAAGCTCTGTGTAGAGCCATCGCGAGCCGAGAGGCTACGGGATATGAGCCCCCCCCCCCCGCAAACTTCTACTTGCAAATCTGTGATTATCGTGGATATTTTTTTTTTAATCCGTAGGACCCTTTCTTGATTTTTGGGGAGGGGTGAGAGACTTAACGAATGTTCTGCTAACTTGGCAGCAAAATGGTTAGGCACTCCTATTTTAAAGAATGTTCCACCGCCGCGCCTTCAGCTATGGAAGGCTGATAGGGGAGGAAATGTAACGGTGTGATTCTTATTATAACCAGCCCTTAGGAGTAAACAAAAGTCTAGACTATTGCACCATTACATACTTGACTTAGGACATGCACGACAAGACAAATAGTTCAGGCAAGGTCATAGTATTTCATGTTATATGTTTTTTTTTATATCGCAATTCGTCATAGCGAGTGGATGTTTGAGTACACCTACACGAACGGAAGAGAGAGGTGATCATGATCGATTGACTGAGTGATTGAGTTTGGGGAGAAGTCTCTGGCTACTGAGGAAGAAAGATGACGGAATTCCTTGATTTATAGCCAAGGAGACTCGCACATTACCAGGTCAATGTGATCGCTTCTATGTATTATCCTGAATAAATAATGAATAAGGTTCTTGTAAACTAAATGTCAACTCTCACTGATTGAATTTGTCATTTTCTTATATCTTTAATTATGAGGATACCCTCTTCTGTCTTCGCACCTTGATCTTCAAATTTCTCAGGTCGAACCCAGGACCTTCGCATCTATAGGCAAGTGTATATACCACTCAACTACGGCATCCTATAATACCCCTAACCCTGGATGAAAAGGGGTTTCTCGAGCACAATGTACAGACAACTACAAAAAACGGACAGACACTCAACAGCAACAAAAATCATGCATGTGAATGTTAAACATTTTTTTGATTATACCAACACCTGTACCAGAAAAACACAAAGTCATTATCAGCTTAACATGCAGGAAGGGGCACTCTGCTGAAGGCAACATTCAGCAAACTTGTAATAAGTGAATGTGCAAGATTGGATATAGCGGGTTAAATGCCCCAGGGAGAGGTAGAAAGTTATCCCGGAAGTACGAATGAGGCCTCCATTACCTTCATGTCAAACATGGTATCGTCAGATGGTCTAGCAGGCTGGGTTCAGACATCGATTTTTCGGCCTAGAATCTCGGTTTTGAAACGTTTAGTTTAAACATGTTTTCACCGGTCATAAATGTAATAATGATTGAGCTAGCCGATTTACAAATTGCCACACTTTTAAGGTAATCATAACTTACGATGGAGACAATATATTTATACAGACTCCAAAACAAATCGCATTAAATTTGAAAAAGAAAAAAAAAAGGAAAGAATTTGGATTTATTTTGATGAAGGACAGTTCTCTCAAATGATTAAGGTTTCTCCCTTTTTGTCATTCACCTTAACATTTCAGTTGCAATTCCAATCGATTTGTATAACGACAAGATTTCATATTTATTTCATCAAATAGATCTACATCATCCATAGATTCATTGCTTTTGGCGATTTTGCCGAGCAAAGGAGAAAACGGCACCCCGATAATTTTGGTAACAGTGCCTTGATAGGTTGAATTGTGTTTTTTTTCCATTAGGCCTGATTTCATTTTAACATAATGTTTCACACGATATACCATAAGGTGCTTTTAATTTGTCCGATTACGTGCACTTTATGTGTCAAGGGGTAATGTGTAGTGTTTTATGTAAACTGTAATTCAGCTTGTCCGCGTAACGTAATCACCTTTGTCACTGCGGTTTAGGTATTTCTGGATTTCATTTCCTTTTGTAATTATCATGCCAGTGCACATGCGCAGTAGTCGACCTTGTCAAGTTTGATCCTGTCACATCCAAGCCATAGCCATTCGACAGGTAGACAGATAGATAGACAGGCACTAGGGGGCATCGGACAGAGCAGGTGAGAGGAAATGAAAGAGAATAGATGGGGAGATATGTGACATATGAGGAGGGTACACAAGGGAAATGAAAATGTGGAAGAGAGAGAGAGAGAGAGGAGGGGAGAGAGAGATGGAGAGAAGAGAGAGAGAGAGAGAGAGAGAGAGATGGGGGTGAGAGAAAGTAGAGAGCAATGATAAAGAAGGGGATATAAAGATTGAGAGAAGGGGGTTAGCAAGAATGAAGGGCAGGCAAGCTACACAATTAGAAGTAGATTAATGGAAAATTCAAAGAAAATGAAGATTTGTAAGAATATAACACCCTCGGTAGTGGGGTGATTGGAATTAGAGGGAGAAATAGTCGAAATAAAATAGAATACAAAGATAGCAGGAAGGAGTCGGTAGAAGCGTTATAAGATATCCCAGCGTTAATTAACAAGATGAACACAAAGAGAGAAAGAGGCCGGAGAGAGAGAGAGAGAGAGAGAGAGAGAGAGAGAGAAGGGGTTACGATTAGACCAAAATAATGTTGAAGATATATTTATATGGAGATGACGGGAAAACAGAGAAAAGACTAGCTGTGCAAAGATATAAATAGAAACGGAAATAAAGAGAGAGAATGAGGGAGATGGGGGAAAAGAAGGGGGTCATAGAAAGCAAGAAGATAAAGAGAGAGAGAGAGAGAGAGGAGGAGGGAGAGAGATAGATAGAGAGAGGGGGCAGAGATAGTGGATGGTGTAAGATAGGGATATGGAGATAAATGACAAACAGAGTAAGAGAGAATGAGAGCAAGAGAGATAGAAAGAGAAAGAGAGAGAGAGAGAAAGAGAAAGAAAGAAAGAGAAAGAGAGAGAGAGAGATAGAGAGAGAGAGAGAGAGAGAGAGAGAGAGAGAGAGAGAGAGAGAGAAAGAGATAGAGAGCGAAAGAAGCAAGGCACCCTGGAACTGTTTGGTGACTCACAGTCACGTCCTCCTCCGTACGGGAGTGACTGCCTGTTCAGAGCAGAGCCTAGCTAATGACATGGGTGCTCTATACCTCAAACCTGGCACGCCAACAAACCAACAAACCAACCAAGCTCACTACTCTACATGCCAGTCAGTCAGTCAGGCCCTGACCAAGGAAGCCTGCAATCGGTTTTAACGCACTAAACCTTTTCAAACTTTCCACGTGAAGTGCCGGTGAGTTACAAGTCACCGCGACGATCGAGATGGACGTGTGATGTTATGCCGCGGAAACTCTCATGATTTATTTCTGCGTCGTATAATTTGACGCAGAGGAAAGATGACGAACACAAAAATGTTCTTTTTCTTGGTATACAAAGTTTGTATCATCCACAACTAGTAATCAGTTGAACTATTAGATTTATAGCAGAGTTATCATCTGGCGTTAATTGCTTTCGTCAGGAGATTATTTCATTCAATCGGACAGTAGCCTGGTGAGGATTATATTGTAGAGTTGTAGTTTACCTGAAGTCGGTGCCATGGATATCTTGAAAAGAATACTTTGCTTGCTTTCCGTGATTATTAAACTTGTAAACATCGTATCTGTGTCGGCCCAGGAAGTGGCATACATGTTAGCTACCGAGGAGGTCAATGTACAACGAGGTGATATAGCAGTTCTTCCATGTGTTCTTGACCCGACGCAGAATGCCTTTGTCATCTGGCGCCGAATGGACCCACTCGTCGAGCTCAGTCTCGGTGTCATGTTGGACAGCAACCTCGACCCGGAACTCAAGGAGAGACTGTCCGTTGTCGTGAATCGTCAAACAGGGGAGTATAATCTCCAAATCGTGGACGTGCGGGTGAGCGATGAGGGTTCGTATAAGTGCGATGTCATTTTCGGCTTGATGACATCGAGAACAGTAAGCAACTCGGTACGACTGAACGTGTACGTACCACCGGAAGATGGGTTTCCGCTGTGTGACGTCACTCCGGCGATCCCGTTGCAAAAGGGACGGTTGGTGACGATGTCATGTTCGACAAGAGGTGGGCATCCACCATCTAAGGTGACGTGGTACCGTGGAAGAAATCCTGTCACAACTGCAGCTGAGAACGAACAACAGCTCCAATGGAGACTGACCGATAGTGACTATGGGGTTCAGTTTTCCTGTATCGAGACTCACCCGGCATTACCCGGCGTCCGGGAATGCAGCGTTGTCCCGCTTCCTTTCCGGCTTTCCGTCGATCTCTTTCCCGCCATTGCTGAGGTTGAGGTTGGTGGTGAGATGTCGTTTACCTGTCAGGGACGCGGACCAACGGATGCTCCTCTCGATTTCAACTGGCGGGTGAATAACAAGAATATCTCAATCAAAGGCAATTGGGCCATTTCCGGAAACAACGGTCAAATCCTTTCCGTCTCCAATGTATCTACCTTTGATAATCAATCGAGCATTATATGCACCGTCACGGCTGGTCCGGGGCAATCGGTGAAGACATACGCAGTACTCGTGGTGAAGGATATACCTATCAGGAGAACATCTACATCATCTAGAGGCAAGTCGTCCAGCAATTTTACGAGTCGTCCAAGACACAAGAATCGTCAACAAGACGGGTCGAGTCTAAACATGTCAAACTCGATCAGTAGAAGACTCGTCGTCATCATATCATTCGGGGCAGTCATGTTCGGTGTCCTTGTCGGCGCCACAGTCGCCATTGTAAGCATATACCGTAGTCGTAAGGTAGCCGGAACGCAGTCGAAACCGAAGTCGTTTAAGAGTTCGTTCAAGACCGGGTCGACGAAAAGTTCAAGACAAGTAGGTAGACGGAACCGCGGGTTCAACAACAGAGGAAGTCGCATCTGGCGAGATTCTAGGAGAATCACCTTCAACGACACTCAGATTACTTTCGCCGATCCTATTCTAGATTACGATGAACCACCGGCCGAGACGACGTCGACGGACCCTGACGACAGCTACCTCGGCCTCTGTCCCGACAGTCTGTCGTCATCGAAGTACGAAGATCTACATTGTCATGTCATGAACTCATTAAGCTTTGACCGTTTCTACAACGAAGCGCCTTCGGTTCCGGAACTCGAATACGAGGATGTAATAGCGGATAGGAATTGGTCGACGAGAAGCTACCCGGTAAATAGGAATCAATGCGATGAAAATATATACCTCAATAGGACATCGGTTCCATGAAATTAGAAACATGTTTGAAATGAACGAATGTCGGCCATTCGAGGCTTTGAGCACAATGATGTGCCTGACTGCCATGTTCTCAGAGTGACCATGTTTAACATAATAAGAGGGACATGAAATGTGTGGAAGACTTTTCGATTGACTTTCCAGTTTTATGAAGGCTCTGTTGAGAATATTGACATCCATCAAACTCTCTTGGTATCAACATTACAAATGCCATAAAGTTTCATTTGTTTAGATGTTCATAATATTTGAAATCATTTTATGATGATTTCTTTTCTCCTTCTCTCTCTCTCTCTCTCTCTCTCCATCCATCTCTCTCTCTCTTCCTCTCTCTCTCTCTCTCTCCTCGTCTTTTCTCTTTCTCCTTCCCTCCCTCCCTCCCTCCCTCCCCCTCTCTCTTTCAGTTTAATATTCTTATTTGGATATGTGGAGTAGGTATCGACCGTATCGAGTTCTGTTAACTCTGGTAGTTTTTAATGCAGTAGTGCTGAGCATTCTGCTTTCGTTGTATTGTGAAAGGTATAAATATGATACATGACAAAAGGTACTTTTATAAACTCCGATGATTAAAACTCTATTAATCATCCATTGATAAAATAAGTTCCGTCAGGTTTGAAACATATTTTTCCGTCGCCTTTATTGATAACTTCAACATCTGGAATCGTTGAAAGTTCGAAATTAGTGAATCTACATCTAGTACTTATCATCAAGGAAAAAAAGAAAAAGAAAAGAGTTCTTCTCAGCTGTGAAGAGAGCGCTCTTTTATGTAATCCCCGGTAGTGATCACCATAATCGAATATTGCTCTAACATTTGAATGTTGTAATCACTTTAAATTGGCATTATAAATTTGTTTTAATAACATTTTAAGTAATTTGGAAGTAATTGGTACAGAGTAATTCTCACTAATTTTCTTAAGATGTTAGATGCACAAATATTGGATGATTTGATACTATGTATATAGAAATGTATACTGATTTTCTTAAATATTTGTATGAACATGATAACATTCAAAATGTAAGCTACATGCAGCATGTGTCTGTGACACTAACGGACTTGTTAAGAGAAAGACAACATTTTTCGGATTAAATTTGATAAATATAAATAATTTCATGCTGTAAAAATGCGTAAAAGCTAGGATAATCTATCAGGGGCAATCTCTGACGGTAACTTATAATGATGTTTACATAATTATAGTATCGATTGCTGCACTAAGGTGATGTAGATTTTCTCTGACTTATTTGTGATGAATGCTTCAAAATAATTTATAAAATATAATCCATGATTATTTCTTACTGAAACATTGTATGTGTTGTAAGATATTACCAGTTCTATCACGATTTTAACAAAAATATCCATTGTCAGTGTACGTATAATGACACTACTTTGGGGGAAATTGTTCCTACAAAGCACGAGGCACTTATAGCTTTTATGTTTTTTTTAACATTAAATATTAAACATTAAAATATATTCAATTAACTAAGTGTAAACAGTGGCTTTTAAGGAAGAATGATTAACTAGCAAGTTGTTAAATAGCAAAAGAATGAAAGCTGGATGGCGATTGAGTATAAGAACAATGATGAGGTATGATGTGGAAAAGGTAAAAGAGATTGAAGGAAGATGGATTATTGAGAAAGAGAATATGCAGACAGGAACAATTATCGACACAAATATAACGGAAGAAGGGCGGCTGGGGTAAACATAATGGATCGTTAGGGAATCATGTATAATGAGTAACTTATACAAAACAAACTCTTTGTGGACTTGATATTTCCTCTATCGTCGTGTGATTCACATATACGACAAGTCCTACCCTGGATTCGGCCCAGGTCTTTTTCGACCCCCTCCATAACCAGTCTCCATGTCAGTACTCAGGAAATGGCTTTTATCTGCTCCTACCCACGTGGAGGTCGAAAGGTAGATCTAGGGGCCAGAGACATGAGCTTAGATCGATTTTAAACTCGTAAGGTTTGAAAGGTACCTGTATATAAACATAGCAGGGGCTAGCGACATGAGCTCATAGCTCGAACTAACTCGTAGAAATGCAGTATTAGGATATTAACTTGTTTGTAAACGATAATGGAGATACCACAAATGAAGGTTTAGTCAGAGTTAGGGGACTAACTTCCAAAAACTTGATTGCTGACAAAGGAAGATATTTATGAATTGTGTCCCATACATAACTAGTTCAACATGTTCAAGGGAATAGTATTTTAGAAGAAAAACAAACACTTTGACTACACACTGTATGTGATCTTTTCGATGTCAGTTTTGTAGCTTTGTTAAAGGTACTATGTCCCATTTGCAGGCCCCAAAAATGAAAAGGTTAAATTCCAACGGCATTTAAAAGATAATACTAATAGAACTTCCCTAAAAAAGGTGGGGCTTGAAAATGTCTTCAAGTGGGAAAATAACTACTAAAAGTTGTCAAATCGACTTAGGAGCTATAGAAGCCAATAAGTAATAGTCTTGATTTTCAGGCCATCGTACCGAATGGTCATACGTTTTATGCTGCGCAAAGATTCAATCAGTTTAATTTGGCCATCACAAGAAGTGGGTTATTGATGTAGACAAGTGCTCATGTACCCTTTACAGCTCATTTTATGTATGTTAATACCAAAGAAGAAAAAAGCCAGTCAGTCACTCATTAGTGTCTGACAGTGAAGTATAGCAAGTAAACGGGTTTCCTTGCATATTTTGAATATTAGGACACTGCTAACGTTTAAATTTCACAGATAGGACATACATGACATATTCATATTTGCTGCAAAGTTCTACAGAATTTGAGGTTGGCTGCAAAAGGGACAGAGTACCATCAAGTATTGGATCATCCGTACCTTTAAACGTTATTTTAACCTAGATTAATTTTAATTTGTTGTGAAATAAATGATTCATAAATTACTATCTCACTGTATGAAATATTAAACATTCGGGTTATTATAATATCTAACCACATTATAGCAATATATTTTCTGAATACTTCAATCATGGGCATTATTATGAGGGGTGAGCCTTTCATTTGCAAGAATTAGTATTTTCCAGATTATAATGTGATAGCAAGTATAAATGACACTACAATCTTTTATTTCTCTATCAGTTGGAACAGAACAATTATCTATTTTATTCCGCCCCCCCCCCCACTTTCCCCATTTGGTCCCCATCTGCATGTTAATATTGCATTGATATAGATGTGATATTCTTCATGGATTATTTTTTCATTGACGAAAGTAAAGAGAAGGACCGAATAGAAAACTGGATGATTGAAGGGGTAACTGTTATAGCATTCAAACTGTCAGTGCTTCATCTTCAGTCTGCTATGATATGTCTGGTATTTAAAAGTCAAAGTTTATGGGACTCCAGGCTCCAGATTTCGGCCCAATCAGGATCAGGAATGGGAAAACCCATGGAACGAGTATACATCTTAAACATACACCTGTAGGGGCTTCAATTTGCATCCTAATTTTTAACATTTCCACACTCTTAGGCGTCCAATGTTGAGCTTTTTAGGGTACCAACGTATAGATGCATGTAATGTGAATATCTGCATCTCCTTCATACCTGACTTCAACAAATTGTTCTGATAGGACTAAAATATTTCATTATTTTTAAAGATATTATATCAGTCTGGGAAAGCTCTATAATATATATTGTTGCTCCTTCATTTTTGTGTACGTTTATATCCTCTCGATTTCAAAATGAAAAGATGAATATAAATCGTGATTTCAAATGTAATTCTGAATCTGTCTGCCCTGAAATGGTTTTTCTATTATTTGATATATGACTGTTTTGGTATGTGAATGAATGATTTATCTTGAGTTGGAAATCAATATTGATGTTCACTTGAATCTATTTTTTACCATTTTATACTGACCAAAATATTTATTCTGACACTAATCACTTTGCAATCATCTCAACATCTCTGCCATGTTTACAATTTATTGTGAGTGAACAATACAACTGCATAGTAGTAGTAGTAGTAGTAGTAGTAGTAGTTGTAGTAGCTCTATACAGAGCGAATTTATTTTTCATTTCTTTTCACATAATATAAACAATAACAAACAATAATAAACGTAATGATATAACAGAAATCAGCATTGAAATATCTTTGACATTATTTTTTAGTCATTGTAATGCAAAATGGCTTGTTATGCGTACATCCGTACCTTTAAAAAAACGCCTTCCCTTTTTCCCTCTCATTTTTTAAGGTTATAACAACAGACCCCCGTAAGTGATCTAATCTCACAAATAGTAACTGTGCCTTTTGAAAAGATATTTTTATCTAAATCATAAAAAAATGAGTGAATGCAACATAGGGTATACTATGGGCATTATGATCTATAAATGGATTTTATGGGGAAGAAAAGGGAGGAAAATTAATCATAGCTGGTGCACTTATGAACTTACCGTCCGTGCCCCCGGCTATTTGTCCTTGGAAATGTGGTTCATTCGGTGTCACTGTATATAAGGATACGGGTAAGAATTAGGCAGGGGAAAAGGAGGGGAAGATAGCATGCGAGATAGACCCAAACCTTTCGAAAAGAGTCGTAACTCCATGCTCATGAGGCAAACACTTTCGTTTGAACTTTTTGTTTCACTTCTAAAGTTGCCGGCTATTTCTTGTCCACAATGAAATGGTTTCACTATAAATATTCAAACCTATACAGGTTTATAATTCTTGAAAAATATAATAATTTTTTTTTTCTCGTTCAAACGACCCTTTTCATTTACAGATGTTATTTATTTATTTATTCAGTTTTATTTAAAAACAGGGTAGTCTTTTCAGTGCCAAAGGCCTGCTTTACAAAAGAGCCCTGTACATACAAAGATTTACAAACAAATAGAATACATTGTAGAAAACAAAGACATTATATAAACAACATACCATAAGAGATTGAGAAGAAAAAAACCAAAAACAAACAAACAAACAAACAAACTAAAAACTAAAACAAATTAAAACTAGATCAAAATGAACATAAGGCCTGAAATATTAAACATTTAGGATATTATTGATACAATACGAAATACAAATACAAATACGCATGCCATAAAGAACAGACATAAAACCAAACGGGTAAAAGGTAAGAAATAAAACTACTACAGACTACACAACTACAAACAAACAAACAAACAAAACTAACTGTAATAAGTCATGATATAACATTAGGTACCAGTGCATGCATTAAAGTGAAGGAGGGAGTGATTTAATTTTGTTTTTTGAACATTTGGAGTGAAGTTGCCATTCATTTTGTTAACCAAACAATTCTGTTATTTTTCCTTTCCCCCCCCCCT